CTGACCTTCACGCTGAAAGGAAAGCACGCAAGGAAAGGCAAAAATCTCGGGAAAGGACATTTGTAGGACGAGATGCCCCTCCTTCTGAGCTAACACCTGCTGCTGACGGGGACGCAGGCAGGATGGAGCCTCGATCCCCAACAAGAAAGCAGCTAAGCCACTAATCCCCCAGGGTCCTCACGGTTGTGGACGAGGCTGCAGACACACACCACCACGTCCTCACTGGGAACCAAAAACCCACCGGCAGGCCGGCTAACGGTGGCCAGAGAGGTGACAGCTGCAGATCACCCAAGATGGCATGACGCTAGAGGGACCCGACCCACGGCAGCAGGGGAAGGTCAGATGCTGAAAACTCACCCCTCGCCCGCCCTTGAGAGGCTGCCAAGGAACCACGCCCCCGGAACAGGAGGCGCGTGTGCAAATCGCTCATGCTGTGCTGCACCCAGCTGGACGGATACGTGTGTAACAGAGAACCTTCCAGGCCCCAGAGCTCATCAGTGGGTGAGACAGGAGCAGGAACACCTGGCCCTCGCTCAGCCTTGCCACAACTTAGCTGTGTGATCTGCAGCTGCAAACCTCACTTCCCTGCGTGTTCAGTTGCCTCGGCCCTAAGGAGGGCGGGCTGGATTCACCTGGGGGGACGGAAGTCAGCTTCTGGTGATGTCGGCCATCATCAGCCCCCTGCTCACAAGGGACTTACCTTCCAATCAGGACTTTTCTTGGGTCATTTTCCATTGTAACTTTTCTTATTCGACAAAGATAAGTTGATACCGGGGCGGTGGGGGGTTGGCTGGCTCCTTTGCTAGAGCACGTGACTCTTGATCTTGGGGTGAAGCTCGGGCCCCCCGCTGGGCGCAGAGATGACTTAAAAACCATAGTAATGATAGATAATTCTATACTAATGATACCAGCAGACACCTGCTGGCAACCCCTTGTGTCAAGCTCCCAGCAAAGGGCTCTGCATTCAGGCTGAATACCACCCCATGTTGGGCACTACACCCCTGTTGTGAACGGGAAGAAATTGAGACACAGAGGGCCTCACATGGGTGCCCAACGGTCACCCAGCTGCCGCTGAAGGCAACTGGAAATAGGCTGAAGAAATGAGATCTCCGTCGATCGACAGATCAGTTTCTGGCCCCTAACATGTAAGGAGGAAAATGGTAACCGGGGGAGCAGAGAAGGCTTTGTTACACACGAGGATAATTGGGGCAGATGGGGAATTACACCCAGACTCGCCCGTGCCCTAAGAGGTTCCACAGCCTCTTGGTTTTTCCACATGAGGAAAAGAACCCACAAGCTTGAGCAAAACTCTTGAAGGCAGCCAACGCTTCTGCCCAGAGGGACTGACAAAATGATATGACATGATTGATCCCAATCATGCCCGTTCCTCCAACAGCTTCAAATTAAGTCGTCCTTTTTAGAAGAACATGACCACTTTAATTTTTTAAAAGACAGAGGGGAGGAAACTCTTACATATTTAACAAAATGAAATAATCATCCGGCGAAATAGGAAGACACAGAACGGACCCATCGTCTTCTGATCAAAATGTACTTCGCTAATTAACGGCCACTGGTCTCCAAAGAGTCGCCCCTCGACTAGTTAATAAAGCCCCATTATACTTCACTTGAGATGTGAACATTTACATGGCAAAGGGGTATGAATGAACTGCGGGATTCAAAACCCTTCCTTCGGGTCGCTCATTAAAATTCTGGTCAAAACGGGTTTTTATTTATATGATACATTAAAGAATATTATGACAGTACTAATGTGAACTCTGCTCAGTGCCACAGCTTTGCTTTCGTATTAAGTTACAGTTTCTTTCCACTAGTCTTGTTTTTAACACCTCCACGAATATTTCTCTGGCGAGTGCTAGCAAAAGAGGGACAGTCAGAAAGCAGAGAAATGCATTTTAACCGAAGCCCACGCTGCCGTATCATTTACAAGCTCCTCACCCAGCCCCCGAGGAGGGGGCACAGTTCTCCTTGCTCCGGGACCCCGACACAGCCACACACAGAAGTTTTATTGAAGGGAGATGCACAAAAAATAAATAAGGCTTGACTTAAACTCCCAGACTACCCTGCCAGCCAGGGTTTGGCCTCCAACACCAACTTCGGTCTGAAATCCCCACCGGGTTCAAATTCTATTGGAAAATAACCACTGACAAGAAAGGCACTTTCTCCCCACTCTGCCCCAACTCCCAACGAGAACACACCTCACCAATTCCCCAGCCACTTCCCTGGAGCTGAGCAAACCCAGAGCTCTGTGAAAGGGTGCCCCTCCACACAGCCAGCCCAAGTCACCCCACGGGATGACATCACAGGGGCTGGGCCAATCACCCAACCAGAGACCTTCTAAGTCTGCATGCACTGTGGTTCTGCTCCTCCAAGCCTGACCACCATCCTGAGCTTCGTCCTCTGCCCGAACGGACAGGTGACACCCCTGGATCCCGACACAGGACAGCACACTGGGCGGGGGGCCGGGTCTGGAGCTAGGCTGCCCACACCCCACTTCTCAGCCCGAGTGTGCCTCGGTTTTCTCATCTATAGATTGGACATAATCCTAGTGCCCACTTCTCCGGACACAGGGGAAGACTCGGTAAGTTGATAAACGTAAGAAGCTTACAACAGTGACTGGCACATAAGCTCAATTAGCGTCATTATGATGATCACTAGACCTCTCTTGGCCATTATGAGAGCCTAACAAAATTCATGTTAAAAACAGCAGGTAATGCATATGGTACTACCATGTACCAGGTCTTTTTTTGTTGTTGTTCTTTTTAAGCACTTTACTTGTATTAATTTAGTTAATCCGCACAAAAACTCGGTAAGATAGGGTATATGAAATTCAAAAAAAAAACAAACAAACAAACAATCTGCCCACATCCACATAGCGAATGAGGGGCAGAGCCAGGATCTGAACCCAAGCTGTGGTGCTTGAATACAACAATAAGAAGGATGATTAAACCAATGGAAATTAATGGTAGCAGCGACAATGAGGAGGGATGGGATCCTCACCCAGCCCAGGGCTCTTGCACTCTTCACAGCAACCTTGCGAGGGGTACTTCCATCGCTCGTGTTTTACAAACACGAGGAGCAAAGAGGCCAGGAGAGGCGGTTTGCTCAGTGTCTCGGGACCTGAGATGCAGATGGAGATAACAGATAGGGAAGTCCTTGGGAAAGGGTGCCATAAAAAGCAAGGTATTGTTATGCAACCTCTAGAACTCCACGGAAAGATGTCCTCCCCCAGCTGGTATAATATTTGCTCACATCTAAAAGTCTGACAATCCACCTAAAACATCCCAGACTCCAGGGTGGGGTGGGGGGAGGTGCACACTTCGACAAGTTCGAGAAATAGTCTGTCTCGTTTTCAAGTTGAATGCATCACTGAGAAACCAAATGCCAGAGTATGTTAAAATGAAATATAGCCTTCCTGGTTAAAAAAAAAAAAAGTGGCGGGGAGTGAAGGGTGGGGAGCAAGAGGGAAGAGAAAACAGGTCAAACCCATGGTTTGACCGAGTCAGGGATTTTTCCAGTTTCCCTTTAGGGTAATCTGATCCTAGTTCTGGGTGATCAAATGACTAACCTGGAAATTTGAAGATTCACACTTATGGAAGAAACAGCAATTCTTCCAAACCCAGGAAATACTGCTAATTCTGGAAAGCCTCTGAAATGTCAAGGATCACACACAGTTTGAAAAGCAACCTTTACGCAGTTAACAGTCCCAAAGTTTGTGCTCAGTACAGAAATAATATAACCTCTTTGGTTCATTAATTCCTATGATCTGCTTAATCATTAGGGGGGAAAAATGCCTTAAGAAAGTATTTCTGCTCTATTTACTTAAGAGATTTGTGTTTCCTTCGAAAGAAAAGGGAAAGAAAAATTACATGGGGGTGGGGGCAGTGAAGGAAGGAAGGATGGATCACATGGCAGGCTCCAGACCTGAAATTCTCAAAAGGTCATCCACAAGAGCCAACTTTTTCTTCATTAAAGTGCTTCATCCCTCCCTTTGCACAATTAAAAGGTTCCACCTATGGGACACTATGCTTGAAGAAATACAGGGACTCTGCAAAAGCAACAGCGCTTTCCCCTTTATGACCTGTAATAGGAAGCATCACCTTTTCCCCTCTTCCCTAAAGGAATGCCAAGGCCACAAGCTACAGAAAAAGTCTCCCTCTCCATATTACACAGGGAAGAAAAAAATCATTAAAACGTGCGATTTTAACATGTCAAGCCCATAAATTTCACCTTCGGTTCCAGGTAGCTCTGTTCTCATACCCAGAGCTGGCAAGCTCAGCGAAAACTGTGTTAGCCACACACTTGTGAAAAAGTGAAGGCCGATCTCAATCCTCCAGGCAAATCCTGTAGCACCACTCCTCCAAGGTTATAACAGACTCAGAACTTCCCTCCCAGACCCCAGCACTTGCATACAGAGGCAGCACAGATGGTCTCAAACGTGGCCTGATTGATCCCACCAATCTGAAACCAAGACTTCCGCTGCCGCCTCTGTCCGAATCAGGGCTTCATGGGCCTAAGAAGTTGTTTTTCCAAGAAAAGACAGGCTGTGTACTCAAATTCTACTCCTCTCCATAAACTCCAAGTTGTAAGGGCCTTCAAAGAGAACCCTCCGAAAGACAGTCATAGGGAAAATAATTAGGGTCCAAGTTCTCCCGATAGGATCTTGGCAATGCTTAAAAAATAAATAGAACATTTGCATAAATATTGCAACAGACGGAGCTCCGTCCTGCCATCAAGTATCAGGCTTGCCCCTGCCCCCTGTTGGAGGCTCAGAACCCACCTCGGGAGAGCTAAATTGCAGACGCACGCAGTTATCTCGAGGAGCTCCTGGCCTGGCCTGGACTCTCACAGCCACGTGCTGACACCCTAAAGAAACCTGAAGGCACCAGGTTTCAACACTTCATTGCCAGTACTCTGTTTGAAATTCGAAATCCTTGGCATCCATCTCTGAGGGCTAAAATCCTATTACTGATTCTCCTACTTACCTTGGGTTGCGCCCGACGAGGAAATGCAACTTTAGGGTCAATCTGGAGGGGAAAATGGGAAAGGAAGAGTCAATTCCAGTATTTGGAGACGAGGAAGAAAAAAAATCATGATTAATCACCTAATTATTAATCACTCATTTCTCAGGCTTATAACCCAGCTTTTAGTAACTTCTCAGGCAACTCAAAATTTCCTTAAACTTTGATCCAAACTTTACTCATCCCTCCCGCAATGTAATAAATAAAGCTAGCCTCTCTGAAACATCCTACCATGTATTTCAATGTGCGATGGTCTTAATAAATCAGATCTCACATGTCCTTATCTAAGCAAAGGCTTCTCTTCCACAGATACTGAACACTGAATGGTACCGATATCTAATCGGCAGTACATGACTAGGAGAAAAGATGGGGACATCATCCCTGAAAAAAAATCATAACCTGAAAAATTAAACATAAAAATTTTTTTCAGGGGCTCCTGGGTGGCTCAGTGGGTTAAAGCCTCTGCCTTTGGCTCAGGTCATGATCCCAGAGTCCTGGGATCGAGCCCCACATCAGGCCCTCTGCTCAGCCGGGAGCCTGCTTCTTCCTCTCTCTCTGCCTACTTGTGATCTCAGTCAAATGAACAAATAAAATCTTTAAAATTAAAAAAAAAGAATTTTTTTTCAGCAGTCAGTAACTGGATAGGAGATATTCTCACCGAGGATAACTAAACAAAGCAGGTGGAAAAGGGGATTCAAAAAAATTTTTTAAATCATCAACATCTAAAAACTCCCCATAGACATCCAACACGAGGCTGAGCTTGAGTTCATTCATTCGTGTTGCCAACAGTACAGTCACCTGAGTTAGCCAAAAAGTTCATTCTGTAGTTAGACCGCGAGAGGAAGCAAGTGTCAAAAGCTACGGAGCCTAACCCAGTTCTTAAAAATAGTAATAATAATAATACAAGAAAAGAAAACACATAAGCCAAAACCACCTGGATTTTAAAAATCACAGGGGGTAGAATTCTATGAGCAACCTAAACCCAAATTATAAAAGGAAGGCCATCAAGGGGAGAGGGTTAAAAAAAAAAAATTACTGAAAAAAAGAAGTCAGAACCTACTCTAACAATTAGGGTATTCTTTCTACCCCAACCCCAATCAGAATGGTAAAACATCCTCCACCCCAGATCAGACACTCAGCAGAACACATGATTCTCAAAAGGGGAATGGCTTTAAAATGCAAAACAATTCCCAGGGAGGCATTTGAATCTAATAGGCTGATCTGAGGTGGGGGAAGTTGCTGGACAGAAAATATGGGGAGGGAAAGAATTTTTAAAATCCCCATCATTGGTTTTCATTAGACTTCTAAATGTCACAAATTTTTGGGTAAAACTCAACACAGAATATTGCTACCAGTTATTTATTCATAGGCTCTGGCTTTCAGAGTACAATCTTCCCCCTTTTAAAATGTAAACTTGAACCTTGTTTTCAGTTCTGCCATGGGGCAGCAAAAAGAGTAAGGCTGTGGGATGAAGCACAGAGCAGGGGCAAAGCACACCAGAGAGTTCCTGAGCCCAGACCTACGTCCCTTAGGACACCCCAGCTGGTAAAACAAACAAAGATTTACCACTTTTACTAAGGTGGTTTAAAGACCTAATAAAAGTCCACAGCATGGTTTTGTTGTTTTGGGTTTTTTGTTTGTTTTTTTAACCTTCAAACATCACCTGAGAAATGAGGGATTACTTTTCAAAAACTAAAATAGACAAAAATCTCTGATCTAGGAAACTACCCTCTCAATCAGGATTAACATTACCGCATCTACAGGTGTATTCAGCACTGAGTAGAGCTGTCTACGAGAGAGATACAACAGGTGTGGATTTTCCATTCTGTTGACCAAACGTAAGACAGGTGTGTCTTTTTATAAACACGCCCCCGACTATGGCTTTTGAGCTGACCAGCACACAATTGCAGGTAAGAGGTCACCTTGTTCATGGAGTAAAACATGAGGGACACAGTCGTGAGAGAGACCAGGAGCTGGAGGAGAGGGACAGGAAGACCTGAAGATAGCAGGACACTCAAAAAATAACTAAAATTACAAAACTCAAAGCCAATTCAGAATTCCTGGATGGCGGGTTTGTGACAGCAGCGTGTCAGACCACCAGGCGTGTTTACCGGCGTGCAAAGTTTACACGCTGCGATCTCTAAAGGAGAGGCCAGGTCAAGGTAAGTATGGCAAATCCCAACCTTTTGCACATCCCTGTCAACTATTTTTTTTTAAACAAACAAAAAAGAAAGCTACCAAAAATTAAAACATTAGTTAGTTAGGTACAGCTCTACTTACTGTAGCTACAAATCCTCTAGGAAAAGACTAGGGTACTATTTTGGATGTGAATGGCCGTTACCTAAACAAAGCTTTTAAGGTAACGGTAAACAAGATCCTCGTTTCCATGTCAATAAACCAACCGCTTCTGCCTCCTGCACTGAACGTTGAAACAAAGTCAAAATCTAGGTTATACTAAATAATAGCGACCAAAACATATCCACAAACAATTACAGAAGGACAAACCGCACGTTTTGCACCTGACACTGAGGGCTATGACCCCCCAAGCACCACAGAAACCACATACTATTTCTCCTACCCAGGGTGGGGAGACGGAGTGAATAATAAATTCCTGAATTTGCCTTGAAATATTTTCCTCTTTAATTCTGTTCGCTTTTTGAAACGTCTGACCAAGAAGTCAAGGGGAAGAAAAAATTCTTTAGACATCCATTATCACCCTACAAATGACTGTTCCTAAAATTAAATTATCTAAAAGTGTAAAAACGCTGGGCTGCCAGCTATGACAAATCCAGCACAATTCATAAAGCAACTTAAAAAGTGTCTGGGGTCCTCTCTGGGGGGGCCAGGGAACATGCACGTGACCTCTGATCAGAGTAAGAGGGTTAATTTACAAAATGTATCCACCTGCACCAAAAGTGGCCAGGTTTCTTGCCCTTTCAAACCTTCCCCTCAATGTTAAAGCCAAAGGGGCTGGAAGAGCACCCTATTCCACTCCTATATTTTACAGAAAAAGAAACTGAGGGCCCAAGGCAGGTAACAACTTGCCCAAGTTCATAAAGGGCAGCTGGGACTAGAACCTGATCCTTTGCCTTGCCCCACCACCTATCCCAGTCCCAAGCACCCCAGCACTGGATCCCAATGTCACCTCCGGGCCCCTGTGTGTTTTTTATACATTGAAGGATGTATAAAAACCAGGGGGAGATTCTCACAGGCATAAAGGGAAGGGGGAAAGCCACAAAGCCAACACAGGCGTCTAAATAAAACACTAGGAGCTGTCCGCCCCACCCCCCATGATTGTACTAATATCTCTTCCCTTCTTCTCTAAGCTCTACCTAAAGACTTTCCCCTCCCCACACACGTCTCTGAAAGCTTCTAATCCTATAAAAGTACCCACACTCAAAATAAAGGATCTGAGGGAAAAAAGCAAAACCAAATCACTTGGAAACCCAAGGCCTTATCAGCGTTAGATTTCACTCCATCTGGAGTCACCCCCTGGACGCCCCGCTTGGCTCTGGGAGGTCTCCTTCCCCTCTCAAACCGCATTCCGAATCCGAGGTGCCCCAGGAGGAACCTGTTGCCTGGGCCTGTGATTAGCGCCCCCCCTCGCCTTCCTGCCGGCCCCCGTCCCTCTCTCTCTCCACTGGCCACAAAGCGGGCTGTGCCTTCTAAAAGCCAATGCCCACAGCCACAGTTGGTAACGCATGCTGTGCTCGGCTGACAAAGAAAAGTTGCCTTGGCTCTGTCGTGCAGTTTCTTTGCATGGTCCCTGGGCCGGAGAGATGCCTCACCCCGAGCGGACCCCTCCCCCAGGCCCGCGATCAGCAGCGTCTGGAGCTGCAGTGGGACAGGCTCTGCACAGAAAACCCCATCCCCAGCCATAGCAGCAAACTTCAGAGCCAACTCGCCAGCCCTGCTCATCACTACCCGGTTCTCAGCACAGAAGCAAAAGAAAGCACGGTCCCTTTAAATGGGGCTGTCAATGCCCAGATGGGTCCTGAACAGGGGCGAACAACAACAACAACGAAGGAAAGCAACCTACCGTCTTGGAATCTAACTCATGGTGGGGCTGACCTAATACTTTATCTACACTTGCTGGGTCTGCGAACGTGACGAAACCGAAGCCTCTGAAATGAGACAAAGAGGGAGAAAAACAAACAAGAAAATGTGACACCATTGAAAGCAACAAGGAGTGAGCCCTCCTGCAGAATGGAGAGCCAAAGTTGCCCCCTCGCATCCTGGCTGCCCACAGCCCTCCCCCCAAGCCCCCTCCCACCTGGCAAGAAAACCCATCAAGGTTAACGGGGGAAGTGGAACGGGGGCAGGGCGGTGGAGGTAACTTGGAAAATGCTGGTGTCTCCACTCTTTCGCCACCTCAGTCTCCTCTCCTCCTCCCCTTCCCTTTCTTAACGCTTTGTTTTATTCCGAAGAAAACCCGGCGCTCAGAAGAGATTCATCCAGCTTTCTAAAAGGGGCTGAAGAGTTTAGGGAGCTGGGAGTGTGGGAAAAGCATACATTAAAAGAAAAAAAAAAAAACTATGTAGAAAGTGAATGAAGCTGAATGTCATTTTAAACCGGAGAAAAAGAAGCGACGGGAAAAGGACTTAAAGCAGAGAGATGGGCATCTCTGTATCCAGAGTTCAGCCCCAATTAACAATAACCTTTCGGGTGATGGGGGCGGGGGTGGGGGGTGGAATAGAGAGACGTTCGAAACCAGCCACATGCCTGAGCCCCATTCTAAATCCGCTTAGCTACTTCCGAAGACACCTCCAAAAATAACACTTAAACTTTGTTCTAAAATAAAGACAAAATCCAGAAGGGAATGGTTTACCTGGAGCGTTTCGTAGTGGGATCTCTCATGACCATACATTCTCTAATTTCTCCAAATTTGCTAAAATAGTCTCTAAGGCTATCTGTAGAGAGAGAAAGAGAGAGATGGGGGGGGAGAGAAGGTGTGGAAAAAAAAAAAGCAATGCAAATTTTGATCAAGGACAAAAACCAAAAGTAGTTTTCTGTTGTTATTCTGTTTTGTTTTTGCATTTTTTGCACACGCGGGGGAAATTCGGCAACAGAGGTCGCGTAGAGGGCTCGGAAAGGATTTGCTATTTAAAAAAATAACCTTGCACAGGAGAAGTGGGGAGCCAATGGCGGGGGGGGGGGCTCCTACACCGGGATAACAAAGAGCAATAAAGAAGCCAAGAAGGGGGGGACCCAGACGTCCCCCCCTCCCTCCCTTACCTGGTGAGGTCTGCCAGCTCAGTCCACCGATAAACATTTTACTAGAGGGAGAAAACATAACAGAAGTGAGCACCGATGTCAGATCGGCCATTTTGACGTGTAACTTACAAAAGCTAAAAGGAAAGCGGGGGGGAGCGAGCGAGCGAGAGCCGGGAGGTGGGGTGGGGGAGAAGGTGACGGCGAAATGCAATCCAAAGGTGTGTAACTTCCACGGGGGGGGCGCGCGGGAGGGGCGGGGGGGCGCGGGAGATGCCCGGCTCCGCGCACCGCCGTCCCCGCCGCTGCAAGGAGAGCGAGCCCGAGGCGGCGCGGTGGGCAGCGGCTGGAAACTTACCCGGGGTCGTGCTGGGAGTCGTTGGCGCTGCCCGAGGTGCCTTGGCTCCCATTTGCCTCCATATCTGAGCCCCCCCGCCCCCCCACCCCCAAAAAACCGAGCCCCACAGCGATCGGAGCGGAGCGGCGGCCGGCTCCGAGCCCCGAGATCTCCCGCTCCCTCCTCCCCCTCCTCCTCCCCCCCGCCCGGGCTCCTCCGAATCTCTCTGCGAGCGGCGGAGCCGGGGCAGCGGCGAGAGCCGTCACACGTGGGCTCGGCTTAGCTCAGCCCCGCTGCTCGCACACCCCCCCCGTCCCCGCCCCCCCGGCCCATCCCCACCTCTCCCCCTCCTCCTCCCCACCCCCATCTCCTCCTCCTCCTCCCCCTCCTCCCCAGCGCACGTGGGGCGGAGTTCTAGAACGTCGTGTAACCAATGCCGGTGACGTCACGCACCCCGGTGCGGCCCCCGCCTGCCCGCGCGCGCACACACTCGGGCCCCCCGCGGCCGGACCCACGGGGGCGGTGCGCGAACCCCGCGGCCGGAGGGGGCCCCGCCTCTAGGCGGGCCAGGCGCCGGCAGAGGGGGAGCGCACCCCGACTTCCCTGGATCACATGGGCTGCAGGGGGCGGGTGGATCGGGGGAGGGGGAGGCGCGGGGAGCTTGCCGCCGCTCCTCGCTCGGGCAGGGGAGAAGACGCCCCCCACCCCCTCTAGTTCGGCCTCTCCATTCAAGTTCGCCGGCCCCGGCGTCCGGGATCCGGGGATGGCACTAGCAGCCTGCCCAGCTCTGCGCCCTTTTTTTCCAGCCGCCGCGCAGAAATTTAGGTCAAGGACGTCGGGATCAAACCCAAACCCTGGCGCTCCTCGGCGGGCCCCGAGACCCCCCAGGATCGGGGAGCTTCAGGATTGCGGAGACCCTCCCGCACAAACAGCAGCCACAAGTTTTATTTTCCTTTGGCGCTGGAAGTTCTCTCTGGCTCTCGCTCCACACCGGCACGTCTTGCGCCGCTCCCCGCCCTTCCCCGGCAGAGGTACGAATCCGTGCCGGGGAAAGGTTATTTTGGAACTTTGAGAAACTGACGCGATTCCAGGGGTGAGAAAGTGCCGAAGAAAAGGTTTCCGCGTTAATCGTACAGAGTTTGAAAAGTATAATAAAATAGGTTTATAGGGGTCAAGGTCAAATGATTGGGGTTCAAAGTAAATTTTTGTATATAGTGAGAAATAGTTTTGAAGCATCTCTGGGATGGCTGGGAAGGGTGGTTGTTTTCAGGAAACCCCTCTCCAACCGGTTCGTTGTATATCTTTATTATTTCTATGCTGAGATAGTAAAATGCATGAGGTTGAAGTAGCCTAGGACTCCCACCCCCATCTGGGGAGGTGGCTGAGGGTAGCAGAAGGCTTCAGACACTCTCACCCTCTACCACCCTGGTAGTAGTGTGGTGCTGCACAGGTCCTGGCACACAGTAGGTGCGTAATAAGTACTGGATTCATCTTTCCCCGCCCCAAAAACCCCCAAAAGACGATGCTGGTAGCTTCCCAAAGTCATCGCACACTTCTCCAGCAGTTTCCAGGCTGGCCAAATTCAGACTGGATTCAATTTATGGGGTATTGAAAACAATAAGGATACAATTATCCATATTGTTTTAAATTATTACAATAAATTGAGTTAATATGGCATGAGGGGCAACACAAAGTTGTGGTTCATCAAATACTCAGATTAATCTTAAGTATGAATTGATGCCCAATTAACACCTTTCCATTAATTTTCATAGGATTAGGACACAATGGAATACACTCAACACCAAAACTATACCAAATCCACTGTGGGTCGTGGCAAAGTGGAATATTTGGAAAATCCCAACACTAGCCAAAGCCTTGAATGACCAGATTCTTAATCTCCCTGCCTCCTAAATTTGGGATAATTCCTCACTGACAGGATTGATGGAGTGAAAGGAGAGACTGAAGTAAGTAAATATAAAAGTCTATTTTTTTTATTGGAAACCTCTGCAGGTTGTGCTTATTATCAATCATCACTTACTGTGACTTTTTGGAAGGCACTTTAGAGCTTCAGACCACAAACCCAAGCATTTTCCCGTCACTCCAAGCTGCTTCCCAAATCATCTGGGGTCTCCGTGTGTTGAAGAGCTGCTTATTATGGTGATTGTTTATTATGACTATTCTCAATAACAAAATGCAGACAACAGAGCTAATTGGATTTTGTTTGGGATTTTTGCGCTAGAACCACAGACCCTCAGAGGTAGAAAGGCCTTTCCTGATCCAACCCTCTCATTTTTTCATCAGGGTCCCAGAGGAGCCAAGCTCTCCAGGGTGCACCCCACCCCCACCAGTCAGCTCCTTAGAGGGGCTGTGGCCATCACTCTGATGCCCTTTGGCTCTGTTACATGCATATTCATTTTGTCCTTCACAAGACAAGAGTGGGGTGTCCTTGTTCCCTGTTGTCGACCTACACAGGCTGACACTGAACTGAATTAAAACCCTGAGAGGGGCTAGCACTGCAATTATAAAGTCACTGGTGGAGAGAGAGCTTGATCTTCTATTTCCATGACTACATTGTTTTTACTTATTGATTTTTCATTTATGTGGTGTATGTAATACTTACTCTTCCTGGGCTATAATCCTGTGAGTTTTTGACAAATGCATAGGATTGAGCTGTCTCCACGATAATCCATCTGAGATGCAGAAGAGTTCCATTGTCCCAAAAAATTCTCTCTTGCTGCCCTTTTGCACTACGTTATTTGAAATAACTAATTATTTATTATGCATTTCTTCTCCAGCACATTTGCTTAATGCAGCCCCTGGGTCAGAATTCCAGCAGCATGCAATGTCAGTCCTCTACTCTCTTTACTGCCCATGACACTGTTAGACACTCCCTACACGTAACTCACTCTTCCCTTGGCATCCTTGATGGCCACATTCTTTTGGTTTTCCTCCTACCTCTCCATCGTCTCTTTACCCTGACTCCTCCTCTGCCTTTCCTTTAAATACCAGTGTTCATTCTCTTCCCCAGCTACACACCCTCCCCACATGAGCTCCTCTGCACCCAGTGTTTAAATACTACCTACTTGCCGATGCTACTCAAGTTAAAATCTCTGGCCTGAGCTTTCCACAAAGCTCCAGGCTCTGGTTAATTTCCTAATCACTGTCTTCCACTTCACCTTCCTGGAGGTACCCCAAACTCAACATGCATGTCCAAACACACATGCATGTGTTTTCCCCTTGAACCTAAAACTTTTAAGTTTCACTATATGGGTCAGCAGAATCCCAGCCATCCTAGAGACAAGGTTGGCCCTACTCCAGGTTGATGTCTTCCCATATGCAATCCGTCATGAAAGTGTGTGGGTTTCACTTCCTAAGTGTCTCTCAAGTTCGTCTTTGCTGCTGCTGCATCCCACATTTCCCACTTGAGCCCTTACAATAACCTTCTAACCATTCTTCCCAAACCATTTCTTCCTCCATTAGTGTAACTGGAAAGCATTCTCTGACCGGGTCAAATCCCCCTTGGAAGGCACGATTACCTTACCTCCATCAAACCATTGCTCTACCTTCCACATATTAGCACAGTGCCTGTTAGTGCATGGTTGACAATCAATAAATAGTTGTTGAACAAATGAAAGGGTGAATGAATGAATGAATGAATGAACAAATGAATGTCAACATCTAATTTAATTGTAGGATTTATTATATTTGTGTCCATAAGTCAAATTGGCTGCAGTTTTCCCTTTTTGTATTGCCTTTGTCTGGCTATAGTGGCCTCATAAAATGAACTAGTAGATGTTTCTTCTTTTTTCATTTTCTGGAACAGTGTGTATAAAACTGGAATTGTGTGTTCCTTGAATGTTTGGTTGAACTTTCCAGTAAAATGTCTGAGTATGGGATAAACACTTCCTAGGTTGGTTTTTAAATACTGATTCCATTTCTTTAGTGGTTGTGGATCTCTTTAGTTTTTTTTGTTTGTGTTTGTGTTTTTTTTTTTTAAGATTTTATTTATTTAGTTGACAGCACAGTAGGCAGAGAGGCAGGCAGAGAGAGAGGAAGGGAAGCAGGATGCAGGGCTCGATCCCAGGACCCCAGGACCATGACCCGAGCCGAAGGCAGAGGCTTAAACCCACTGAGCCACCCAGGCACCCCCTCTTTAGGTTTTATATTCTTCTTGAGTCAGTTCTTACACATTATATTTTTCAAAGAAATAATTCATGCAACTAGGTTTCCAAATGTATTAATAAAATGCTGTTGATAATTTCCTCTTAATATATTTTAATCTCTGCTGCATCTATCCATCATGTCCATTTTTTCATTCTTAGTATTATTGTATATGTGTCTTCTCCTTTTCTGGATTAGTGGTGCCAGAGATCTCCATTTAACTAATATTTCTTCTTTCTGCTAGTGTTTTCAAAGAATCAGCTTTTAGATTGTCTAACACTATTTTTTAGTTTTATTAATTTTTGTCTTTATATATTATTATATATATTATATTCTTGTATAAGAGAATAAGAGCATATATACCATACAAATAATATATAGCACCTGTAAGAATATAATACATTAATATGTAAGAATATAATACATATCTGGTGTTATTTTTTTCTGCTTTCTTTGTGTTTATTCTCTTGCTCTTTAAACTTTTTTTTTAATTGGTGGCTTAAGTAATTAATTTTCAGTCTTCTATTTTCTGATTGTAACATAGAAGACTCTGGATTTCACTCTGAGTACCACTCAAACAACATTCCACAAGATATAGAGAATTTTTATTATCATCCCAGGCAAAGAATAGATTTCAAATATGTTTTCTTCTTTGGCTCAATACCTGTGTATCTTCATATTTCTAAACACAAGCTTTTTTGTTTTGATTTTTAGTTATTAATAGCTAACGTAATTGAATTAGGGTCAGAGAAGGTAGTCTGTATAAAACAGATTCTTGTTATTTGTTGAGACTTGCTTTGCCAAATGGTCAATGTTTATAAATATTCCATGTGGCTTTGAGAATAATATTCCAGATGGCTGGCTCAGTTGGTGGAGCATGCAACTCTTGATCTTGGGGTCAAGAGTTGAAGCCCCATGTCAGGCAGAGAGCTTACTTAAAAGAAAAAAACAAACAAAATGGGTATCCCTTAATTGTTAAGTGTAGCATACTATATAGACCTATTATATTAGGCTTCTTAATTATGTTTTCCAGATTTTCTGTAGCCTTACTAATATTTTGTCTGTTTGATCTATCACGTTTATCATAGTGTGTCAAAATCTCCTTTTATGATGGAATTTGCCAATTTCTCTTAAAAATCTCCTCGAATTTTTTTTTAAGATTTTATTTATTTATTTGACAGACAGAGATCACAAGTAGGCAGAGAAGCAGGAAGAGAGAGAGGAGGAAGCAGGCTCCCCGCGGAGCAGAGAGCCCGACGTGGGGCTTGATCCCAGGACCCTGGGATCACGACCCGAGCCTAAGGCAGAGGCTTCAACCCACTGAGCCACCCAGGCACCCCAAAAATCTCCTCAAATTTAATTTTTTCTGCATTTTAAAAGTATGTGATAAGGCATGTCAAAAAGGTCTGTTCGTTCACATCTCCTACTATGGCTGGGCAGTTTTTCTATTTTTTACATTTTATTTGTCTTACTTTTTGCTTTGTATATTTTGAAGCTATGTTATTAGGCACATGCAAGCTTAGATATACTATTTCCCAGTGAATTGTTTCTTAAATATGTACAGTTGACCCTTAACCAACACTGTGCAGGTCTGATTATATACAGACTTTTTTCAATACAGATGGTATAGTACTGTGAAATTACTGTATATTTTCTCTTTTTTTCTTTCCATAATAACATTTTCTTTTCTCTAGCTTACTTTATTGTGAGAATACCGTATAGAATACATATACAAAGTATGTGTTAATCAACTTAATGCTATCTATTGTAAAAATACCATATATAATACATATACAAAATATATAATTGTTATTTATTGTGAGAATATGATATATAACACATACACAAAATATATACTAATTGACTGTTTATGCCTTCCAGTCACAAAAGACTATTGGTAGTTAAGTTTTGGGGGAGCTAAAGGTCATAAGCAGGTTTTCAGCTGCTTAGGAGTCATCATCCCTAACCCCTGCATAGTTCAAGGATCAACTATACACAAATGATCTTTAACGCTAGGACTTTGGGTTTAAAGTCTGCTTGGCCTGTGAAAAAGACAACTACTCCAACTTCTAACGAGCATAGCATTTGCCTGGCATATCTTTTTCCATCCTTTACTTTCAACCTTTCTATGTCTTTAAGTTTTAGGTGTGTCTCTTATAGACAGCATATAGCTAGATCTCGTTCAGTTATTCATTTGATTAGTAAGTTTTGTCCATTTACATATAATGTGGTTTTTTAATCATTTTTTTAAATTTATTTTCAGCATAACAGTATTCATTGTTCTTGTACCACACCCAATGCTCCATGCAGTCCCTGCCCTCTCTAATACCCACCACCTGGTTCTCCCAACCTCCCACCCCCCAACCTCTTCAAACCCTTCAGATTGTTTTTCAGAGTCCATAGTCTCTCATGGTTCACCTCCCCTTCCAATTTCCCCCAACTCCCTTCTCCTAACTTAATGTGATGTTTTTAATGAAACTTAGGGGTACAAAAATATATTATCCACAGTCTCTGGGATTAACATAACACACTGTCATCATTGGGTATATTCATGGCCTTATTTTTTTTAATATTATTAACACCTGTAAACCTGTTATTCAACTAGAGAACAACAACAACTTACAACTACCTGTATGCTTCTCTCCTACCTTTTCTTCCATCTGAAGTAACCACTAATCTCAATCTTGTATTTATTATTGTTTTTGCTTTTTAAAAATTTTTACCAAATTTTTATCACACATTTGTTTTAAGCTCTTATGAAATATTTCTGAGTTTTATATTTTCTTACCCAACATCATATTGTTAAGATTCAGCTAGAATATTACATCTGGCTGTAGTTCGTTCTTTTTTTTTTTAAGATTTATTTATTTATTAGAGAAAGAGAGAGAGCAAATGCGCACACACAGAGGGAGAGGGAGAAGCAGATTCCCCACTGAGCAGGGAGCCTGATATGGGGCTCTATCCCAGGACTCTGAGATCATGACTTGAGCTGAAGGCAGATGCTTGACCGACTGAGCCACCCAGTCACGCCTGGTTGTAGTTCATTCTTATTTCTGATTGTATAATACTCTGTTGTGTGCCGCTACCACAGTTTATTTTGTCCATTCTTCTGTCACAGGACTTTGGGTTGTTTCCATTTTTCTTGCTGTTATGAGCAGCGCTATAGTGAACATTCTTGTCCTCTGGTGCATGTGGGCAAGAATTTTTCTTTGGAGTGATGACTAGGTCATAAGGTATGTAATGTAAAAGTATATAAGATAATGCTAACCAGTTTTCCAAAATGCTGTTTCAGTTTGTGCTCCCACTAGCAACATGTAAGAGAACCTGTTGATCTACTGATGACCGATGTTTTGGAATTTGTGCCTTCAGTCTCACTTTGCACCTTTTGCTTATTTGGTTTCTCTCAGGTTTTTGTTTACTTCCTTCTTTTCTATTGAATTGATCAAGAATTCTTTGTCCCCCTTTCCTCTTAATTTATAAATTAAGGGGCGCCTGGGTGGCTCGGTTGGTTAAGTGACTGCCTTCGGATCAGGTCATAATCCTGGAGTCCCGAGTTTGAGTCCTGCCTCAGGCTCCCTGCTCAGCGGGGCGTCTGCTTCTCCCTTTGACCCTCCCCCTTCTCATGCTCTGTACACCCCTGCCCCCGTCATTCTCTCTTTCAAATAAATAAATACAATCTTTTTTAAAAAAAGAAAGAAATTGTAAGTTCCACTTCTTATAGTGGTTATTTTAGAAACTTTTTTTTTTACTTTAGAAATTTTAACATATGCACTTGGTCTAACCCCACTACAACTATACACTAAGAACAATCCCCCTCCAACTATATCCTTCCTCATACATGTTACTGTTGCTTGTTATTTTTTTAGACCCCACCTGCTTTTAATACCCCTGAATTTAATCACTGTTGTCCCTTTCATTTTATCCCGTTCTTGTATAGATTTGTCCATGTTTACCAATTTCCTCACCTTTGTTTCTGGCATATCATTCCTTTTTTCTAATTACTAGCTCTTTTCCTTGAAACATACCCTTTAGTATTCCTTTCAGGCAGGTTATGTGAGTGACCCACTTTCTCCATTAATATAAAATGGTTTGACTGCCCTCTCATCCTCGAATGATGATTTCTCTGGGGAGAGAATCTAGACAGAAAATGATTTTACCCTCGAGACACATCTCGTTGTTCCTCTATTGTTGAGACATTTGCTATCATTCCCTTATAGGTAATCTGGTTTTTCTTTCTGGTTTTAAGATTTTCTCTTTGTCTTTGGCTCCCCATGGTCTTAACATGCTGTGTTGAGATGTGAATTTGTTTTTATTTACCCAGTTCAAGATTCAGTGTACGTCCAGAATCCCAGGATACATGTTTTCTTATCAAATTTGCCAACAGTCTTTGTATAAATGCTGTGTCCCCTACATTCTATGTTCTCCTTCTGGTGCCTGTAAAGGTGAACCTTTCTCTCAGACTTTCTTTCACTTCGTCTCTCTATGATGCTTCCTGGACAATTTCCTCAGTTGTTTTCTTCAGTGATGGCTAATCCACGGCGCAACTCACCCACTGAGCTTTTCATTTCAGGGACCATATATGTCATTTCCAAAGGTTCCATTTAGTTCTCTTTCCAATCTACCTTTTAAAAATACTATTATTTTCTCATGGTCCAAATGCTCTTTTATGTCTTTCATAATTTTAAACTTACGTACTTTATAATTCTGTCCAGTAGTTCTGTTTCCTGAGGTTATTGGAACACTTGTGTCTCCTACATCTTGGTTATGGTAGACTACATCCATGTGCATTCTGTAGTTTGGAGTAGGTTCTGTATCTTTATCTTCGCTTTTCAGTTTTAGGGTTCCTGATTCCTGGATCATACGGGTAGAGTAAATTCCAGCCCCAAATTGATATGGCTGTAATTTCTCCACTTTCAAATCATGCCAAGACAGTGAAATTTTCTTATCTCCCTGAGCCCCTAGGGCGATTTTTTCCCCCAGTGAATTATTTCTAAAATGACTCATCCTTTTGAGTCCAGCTTAATGTGGGGATCTCAATCCCAGGTACCACCTTCTCACTTTGAATGGGCCCAAGCCACAGTCTCCTTGCCATGTGGATTTGCCCAAGACCTGCTCCATCTCCACTTACTAGCTCACCCATCCTAACTGCCATTTCCCTCTTGCTTCTGGCACCGGGGGCCCTGTCCTTACTGTCTCATGAGCTCACTTCAGTGAGGGGTTATTGCATTTTGACCAGTGGTTAGAGATGGGCTATAGTGGGAGGATAATTGACATCATTTCATCCGCCATATTGCCAGAAATGGAACTCATTTCCATTTCAAATGTTTAACGTCTTCCATTGCAAATGCATTTTTTCTTCATGTACTGCGGCACCTAAGATTTCTGAATAATTTCTTCTCTAAATAATCTTTGTTTAATTGTTATTTTAAATTGAAGTATAGTTGAACTTGTGAATAATCTTTTATGGGTGAGGTGGCAAACGTAGGTCAACACAGCTATCCATTCTAATCACCTGGGAAACTTCAAAAAAATATGGATGCTTGGCTCCGCCCACAAGATTCTGATTTAATTGGTTCAGAGACCACCTGGGCAGGGGTCTTTCTTAAAACTTCCCAAGTGATTCTAATATGCAACCGAGGCTAAACACAATTATTTAAAACATACTGATGAAAACAAGCAAGCCGTCATGATCCCTGGGCTCTACCCCAGAATGTCTGATGTCTTTTGCCTGGGGTGGGGCCCCAGGCATCATATTTTTCTGACATTTCCCTGATGATTGCAGGCTTGAGCACCATTGATTTTCCTGGGCACATGCAGTCCAAGGGAAGCGTTCAAATAATCTTTGAGCTGAAAGCATGAGAAGTAATCTAGCTTAGCATACGCATACACAGAACTGTCCATCTGACTCCCAAGGGCCTTTTAATTATAAAGATTCCTGGAGATTACTGGGGACCTGGGTGGCACAGTCAGTTAAACATCCAGCTCTTGATCTGGGCTCATATCATGATCTCAGGGTCATGAGATTGAGCCCCGCTTTGGGCTCTGTGCTGGGTGTGGACCCTGCTCAAGATTTTCTCTCTGTCCCTCCCCCCACCCAGAGGCATACATGTGCGCATGCTCTCTCTCTCTCTCTCTCTCTCTCTCTCTCTCAAAAGAAAGGGGAAAAAAAGATTCCTGGAAGTTACAAGGCCAGTGAGTCTTTCATTCCCCCAAAGACTGAGATGGGAAACCAAGTTTGGAAACCATTTAGCTAACCCATGTTGTTTTACAAAGGAGGAAACCAACCCCGAAAGAAGTGTTTTCTTCACAAAGTCACAGACCTGATTCAGAGGATACCCGACGCCTACCTCCCAGTCTAATGTCCATTTCATCCATTTCTAAACCTAAAGTCCACCACTGCTTTTAGACAATCTTGACCATTTTAAAGAGAGAGATTTTGATTTTGTGTGCAGTGATGCTAGGAATGTGAGGTTTTTTGCTTTGCTTTTGTATGTAGATGGCATGGCAGAGGGAAAATAAAACAGCCTGCCATCTGGCACATAGGATCATACTAGTAGCTTGGTGAACTTGAGCCAATAAGCCACCACCCATCTCAACTGCCCCATCTGTAAATAGGGGGTCATGGTGGTTTTAAAATATGACCGCAACTTCTTTAATACTCCTCTAAGAAATGGAGCCTGGTTCCCCTCCCTCTGAGTGTCTGCCGTACTTAGTGACTGCTTTCTTTTTTTTTTTTTTTAATATTTTATTTATTGATTTGACAGAGAGAAATCACAAGTAGACAGAGAGGCAGGCAGAGAGAGAGAGAGAGAGAGGGAAGCAGGCTCCCCGCTGAGCAGAGAGCCCGATGCGGGACTCGATCCCAGGACCTTGAGATCATGACCTGAGCCGAAGGCAGCGGCTCAACCCACTGAGCCACCCAGGCGCCCCTAGTGACTGCTTTCTAATGAACAGCATGTGAGGGAAACAATGGGGGGTGAATTCCATGGCTAGGTCACACAGGGCATCCTGGCTTCCGCCTTGCTCTCTCTTAGATCACTTGTTCTGGGGGAAGCAGCTGCCATATCATGAAGATGATCAAGTAGCCAAGTGGAGAGGCCCACGTGGAGATGAACTGAGGTTTGCTACCAGCAACACAATCTTGCCAGGACTATGAGCTAGACACATTAAAGGCAGATCTGCCAGCCCCGGTCAGACCTTCAGATGATTGCTACCTTGGCCTATGCCTTGACTGCCACTTTGTGAGAAACCTTAAGCCAGAACCTCCCAACTACACCAATCCCCATTCCTGACCCTCAGATACTGTGTGAGATAGTCAAGACTTGTTGTCTGAAGCTACTAAATTGGGATAATTTGTTGTCCAGAATAGATAACGAATACAAAGATACTTCACAACGCACTAAAATAGAGCTGCTCACTTTATAGGCTTGCGCCAGGATTCATATGCTAACATTTATAGAGCGTTTTAGTTAGACTCAGGCCAAATGAACTGCATATTAGATATAAAGCAGCGATTGCATATTATTAATGTTATCAGATTGCAACACATTTCATGTTCAATTACCTAAAATGCTCTTTCTGGAGCACCGCTTTGCTCATCATCTTATCCCCACTGCACACTTATAAAAGGTCACTGTCAAGATATAAAAGTATATATATGATTTAAACGTCTTGACTCAGTTGCTAACAACCGTGAGCATGTTTTCAAATTGGAAAAGCAAGATTAATCTAAACTTGCTCTTTTTCACACAATGTACTTTGTTTACTTTTAGGATTGCATTTCACTGCCAAGCCAAGTGTGTCTCTGATTAAAGAGTGTGTTCACTTCATCTCTCATAGTCTCTTACAAGCCTCCCTTTAAGAATAGATATGGCAGACTTTGCACCAAAAAAGCAAACCATATTTTTACCAGAAACTATTTAGTGAAATGAGTTTTTATTCATGAAAACTTCACTAAGTATAAATTTCGTGTCTGAAAGTAATGGGCCCTTTGTATTTCCCGTCGATAAATAAATAGCTTCTTTCCTTAAGAATTACAACTTCTGAGCATGCTCTTAAATTCAAAGCTAGTTTGTTTTCTTCCAAGAAACGGAAAATATGCATGTGCATACACACCCTTCGTTGGCTGGTCCTTATTCCAGATCGGTGTAAAACAGGAAAGCCGGGATGGTATCTTTCTAACAGTCGTAACTGGAGGTATAAAATATCTGGGAAGAACAAGAACAAAGGCAGAGGGTATGAAGCTGAAAGTGAAACTATTTTTCAAACACTCTTTACTTATCTAACATATAAATATCTTTATGTGGAATTTACTCCCAGCATTGTCCGGTATACTTAGAGACATAAAAGTCTATTTAAACGATGGAGAAAATTTGCTTTACTTTGTTATTTCTTTCCCAGATTAGGGAAGGAAATGCAAAAAAAAAACAAACAACAACAACAACAACAAAAGCTCCCTAATGGAAGGAGGGGTAGGGGACACATATTTAGCTGAAATTTTTCTTTTTTGCCTTTCCATGTTCCCATAGGACACAGCTAGAAATCTAGTGTGGTGACTGAACACTTTTGCTCCTTTTTGTCCCCTCTGCCTTCCACGTTCCTCGTTCCCAACTCAAAATGATCACATCCAATGGGGCAGATGCTGCTTACAAGTTTAGCTGAGTGAGAAAAAGTCAGACTTCTAATAAATGTCAACATCATTTATGGAGTGACCGCAGCGAGGCTCCTTCTAGGCGCAGTGGCGGACAGGGGCTCCGGACATCTCTATTTGTCAGGAATTGTAAGAGGTGGACAGTAGCTTGGGGTTGGGTACGAGGCAGGTTCCAGCCCCTCTGGGTGGCAGCTCCCTATAGGGGACACCCTGTGCCAGGCTGCCGAGCCCCTCCCCAACCGTGGCTTCCTCACCTGAGTGTAGGTGTGGCAGGCACAGGAGAGAAGCCTCTGGAATCAAAGACAAAGTTCCCATTTTCACGGGTAATATCCCAGAGCAGCTCTCCCCTGCAGCTGAAAGCTGGTTAACAGCCGTTTGTCATTCAGTCATCATTATTCTTATACGTGTAGGTAAATATTTTATTAAGCGTCTCCGCAGCTTGGCAGTTAGGGAGCCCTTTGCCTTTAGACCTGGCGGGTGCCCAGCGCTGCCCGGGAGGGTGGGAAAACAGCGGGCTCCTTGGTGTTAATAGAGCGGTGGTCCTTTTCACCTGGAAACCATTTTCTCCTCTGGCCTCTCGGGCTTAATCTTCCATTTCTTCTTCTTTTTTTTCTTTTTTTTTAATCAGTTACCAATTTGGTCTTGATGAAAGGTGCCGGGGCCTGCAGGAGAAAATGGCTATGCCTTTCAACTCCACCTGGAAATGGTTGACTTGTTGCCGCAGTCACCTTCCCTTAGGCCTCTGCATCCGTTAGAGCACTTGCCTCATCCCCACCACGCTCTGTCTTGCCAAACAGAAACCTCGGTGCGACAGCTGGAAACGTGCAGGGGGTCCCTCCACCCAGGCCCCCTCACACACACCGTAGTTATGTCTGGGACCTCCAAACATTCCCCTGGGCTTTCACCGTCTAGCCCCAGAGCCCATCAGCTTGCCAGGGTGCCAGCAACCAGCTCCTAGCTCAATGCACAAAACCACCCATTAGTTTGGACCAATGTTCGGTCCACGTCTTCAAAATCCTTTGCTTTTTACCATTCATCCAGTATTAGAGGTGGCCAAAACATCAGTAGGAAGTATGGCTGCAGTGTCATCCCATCACATCTCTGGGTCTTCTGGAGGCCAACCCCTCCAGGATCTATTTCTTGTGTGAGCACGTCCAGCTTTGGAGGACCGTGTGTATGACGCCCTCTTCTGGTGGATGCGGTGAACGCCAGTTGCGCCCATGCGTCTCAGTTCCCTCTGCTGGCGGTGGAGAGAGAGAAGCTGCCTCTCGCCTAAAGGCCCCAGATACCAGGGCTGGGGGGTGGGGCTGGGGCCTGCCGTCAAATTGCGAGACCCAAGCCCCGCAGATCCTGAGGTTTCCTGAAGTTGAAACCGAGACCCACCACTGCAATTTCTGCAGTTACAAAATCCAAGTGGCTGAAAACAAATGAAGGGAAGGGTGGGGAAGGGAGAAAGCACTGTAACCGCCGAAGGGGGTTCAAATTGGCTGAACTTACATCTATTTAGCTACACGTGGTGTGGACACACAGAGACAGAGGGAAGAAAGGAATCAGAGAAAAGATCAGGAGTGAGGACAATAGAGGACAGACTTTACAGCAAATTGCTGAGTAAGATACTCGTGCTAAAAATAATACCGCTTGGAGAGGGCATAAGAAACAAAAGTGTGGCTGCTGTGCCCATGGGTGGGAGGAACACGAGGCTCTGCATATAAACACCCAGAATTAGAACAAGATGAAGAAAGGATCATCACCCAGGAGGAGAAGGAATGAACATAAGAGTAATTTGAAGCGAACCAGAAAATTAATTTTGTCACCATCCTCTTGCTTCTGTGGATCTGATGATGCTGGAGGGCCCCCAGCAGTGGCTGGCCACGCCTCTGGGTTCTGAGCAGGCCCCAAGACCCCATCACCCACTCGGCAGACGCTACACAAGAAAGGAGGGCAAGCCCCGGCTTTGTATCTTCTAGTCTGGATCACAGATAATCATGAACATTCAAAAAATCAATTGCCCAAGTGGCTGATGGGGAGGTCTGGCTTGACAGAAGGCGTTCGTGAGGAAGACCCGGGAGGTTAGCTGATCACAAGCTTGATGTGAACCCACAGCGCAAGGAGGCTGTTGAGAACCCTAATGCAATCTTAGGCTCTATTAATAGAACGGCGGAGTGTGGAAGGAGGGAGGCCGTAATCCCAGCGCGTGCTGGCAGGTCAGGCCACATGCAGTTTTATGCTCAGTCCTGCGGGCTATATTTTAAGAGAGGCACTGGCAAATTCGAGCCTGTTCAGAAGAGCATGAAAAGGACTGGATGCCAGTATTTAGACAGCATCGAGATTAGCTTGACAGTCCTTTTACAATTGGCAAAATCCGAATGCGTATTGCATTAAAGACAGAATCTCAGCAGTTAGGACCCAGAATCGTGCTTTCAGTGTTCACTTAGCCTCCCTGAGCTGGATGGGGTGCCCTTTCTGTAGAGTGGGGGTACTACTCTTCCCTCGACCAGGCAGGTCTGCTCAGTTGGGCTTGTATACTGAGCATCTCCTTGCTCCCAGCTCGGGGCGGGGCATGAGGGCACCTGGAGTCTAGTCTATGTTAGAGCCACAGGCCCGTAAGCAGGCATCTTGCATATAACATAACAGATGATAACAGATACATGCATTGATTTGAAATGAGATGTAATTAATTTCTTATCGGGAAAGAATGACAAGAGACAAAAAGAGAGTCTTAGGGCATATGTACTTGCAAGTGCAAAGGAAAAGAATTGTTGGAAGTCAGAGAGGAGAGTCCACGAGTGAGGAAAGATTAGAACCAGGAAATTTCAGAGTCACAGAAGCCTGCTGAAAGGTCTCCACACTGTCAGGTGCCACCAAGAAATCCAGGAGGAAGAGGAGAAAAGCTGAAATATTTCCAAACCACTCCCTGGATGTGGAGGTTAGGAGTTCATCCTTACTGGTCAAGAAACACCTTATTGGAAAAATGCTAGAGGCAGAGATGGACTTCATTTAGAATATTTGTGGAAGGATGCATTTATTGGACACCTACTGCACACTTCGCATGGTGCTATGCACTGCGGAAATTGGAAAAGCATAAGACTTTGTTGGAACCCACTTCAGTAATGACTAGTGAGTGAAAACTAACACCTACACAATCATTAGAGAAGAGTAGAAGATTATTACATAAATTGTCCAGCTGCGTAAGGTAGACAATGGCTTAAATGGCCAGTTGTTTGGCCCATGATATTCCTTATGCTTATGAAAGCCAGAAGAAGAAAAGATGGCGGCAGTGCATTCCAATATGGTGAACCTGATCCTAGTCTTCCACTTCCCCATGTCCCTTGGGAAGTTTCCTTTCGTAGAAGTGTTTGGAAACACAATTCTTGTCATAACATCCCTCATGTTGGCTCCCATTTTGTTATTTACCAGTGAGATTAATATTACTCTTTACCCTGCTCACATTCTAGATCCAACATGTGTTTTTTCATCAGTGGGTTTGTGTTTGGTTGATTAGTTATTCATGTATAATGCAAGATGACGAGAGCTGTAATACAGAGAAATGATTGTGGAGAATACAGGCATACAAGCTCTGGGGTTGGCTTCTTTTCTCTTTTTGGGGGGTGGGGTGGTGGTGGGTGGGAGGGCAGGTTAGTAAGGCTTTTGGATTATTTACAGATGGTTGAAATTCTCTTCTTACCAAACTGGTAACTGAAGAAAAATTGGGGGAATTAAAGTAAATGGCGCCCTTGGCTGTGTATCCCCCAGTCTCCTTGATCCACATCATGAGTCCCACATGAACTCCTGGATCTGTTCTCTACAATCGCTCCCATCATTTGACTTCTCTGGACTTGAGTTTCCCCATCTGTATCCCATCCAATGTATCTTTTTCTATGTTGGCTTCTTTCATAGGTTAAATATTTGCAAAGGGAATCACCTTATAGATGAGTTCTACCTCTTACTTACCCTCTGGGACTTCCCTTGGAATAGCCAGAGAACAAATCCGATCCTTCCAGTGGCTTCCCACTGCAACCAAGCCCTTTGGTGTAGCCTAAAAGGCCCTACGTAATCTGATTCTGGCCTGGTTTTCCAATCTATGTCATGCCATCACCCCCTACCAGTTCTCAAACAAAATGAATGACTTTCGCTCCTGAGGCCCTCGCACATGCTATTCATCCTGCTTGGAATGTTCTTTCTCCACTCACTGAATGGACACGTCCCTATTACTTTCCAAATCTTAGTTCAAATACCACTTCCTCACAAATGCCTTTTCTGCTCAGCCTCTCTAAAGTCACCTCCCCATCCATCGCTTTCTAGTTCATTGCCGTATTTATTTCCTGCTGGGAGCCCAGCTGAGGG